GTTCATAAATTCCTGCAGCCACACTTCAGAACGCGAGAAAAATGAGGAATAAACGTACCTGGATCGCGTTGTGGTCCTTGGCCTTGGACGGCAGTAGCTGCTTCATGGCGACCTCGTCCTTGCCAAACGACGCGTGGAAGACGACACCGTACCCGCCCTTGACGAGGAGCGACACGTTTTGGATTTCGTTTTGAGGAATCCGGAACTGCGAGAGCTCCTCGTCGAAGCGAATGTCGTTGGCGACGCGGAAGCCGTCGGGGTTGCCAAAGTTGTCGAGCGCAGTCATACCGCCGGCTTCCGTCTAGTTGATGTAGTCAAACTTGTGTTTGGCCGCGTCATTCTTGGCCTTGAGCTTGTAGATGACAGCAGCGAGAATGAAGAGGACGGCGCAAGCGATGCCGATGATCACATACATCGTGCTGCCGTTGCCCGAGTCGGCGACCGTGTCCGTTGGGAGCGGCGCCTGCGTGCAAATGAGCATGCCCTGTGACACTTTGGAGTCGCGCTCGATGAAGAAGGCCATGCCTGTCGGCGACTGCCCGCAGCTGGAGACCATGTCGGACTGGAACGACGTCGAGTTGAGCTTCCGGCACCCGCGGCAGTTGTCTGCGCTCATGAGCTTAAGCGGCAGCGTTTGGCATTCGCCGACTGCCTTAACGAACGTCGCGACCAGCGTCTTGCAGGTTGCCTCGCAAATCGTCGGGAGGAGAAGGCCTGTGCTGGTAACGGGGCACGAGGGCACGATGGACGCGGCGAGGTTCGTGATCTGCGAGCACGCGGGCGTCGAGCAGTATGCGTCGATCGTCGTGAGGCGGCAGTTGGCAAGCGCTGGCGTCTTGGTTGCGTTCGAGAGATCGGCGTACTGCTCGTAGAGGGCCGAGCAGTTGGGCGTCGTCTGGGCGGTCGCAGCAGCGACCGCCATCGCGAGGAGCATAACACCACGCTGCATCATGGGTTGGGCAGAAACAAGTCTGCTCAAACTCTGGCTCTGGCCGCAACCAACTTCGAACTTCGGTAGTATTACAATCCCAGGTGGCAATTCGTTGAATTGCGGCGGGTCGTCGCCGTGGCCAATGTTGTTCGGTTGTTGCGCAGCTTGTAGCTTACTGATGTCATTGCTCGGGTTGTGACGTCGACCCAGTTTGCACTTGCGACGACGATCCGTTGGTCTCGGAATCATCTTGGCTGCCTCGCGGTTGAGGAGCCGCGACCGAGCCCACAACGTCCGCAATGCAATCGGATGTCCCCAAAAACGTATTTGTCTCGCAGCGCGATGTCCTCGACTGTCTGTCATTGTACGCTACATACCGGCTTTGTTACTAGCAACGTCTTGTCAATCTCCTGGTGCTTGTTCGTCATGATGCTCTAGCAGTGGCTTTCCCACGCTGTGCGCTCCGTGGATAGACTGGGCAGTGCATTCGTATCTATCACAGGCGGGTCTACGTGTACTTGTACGCAAGGAACTGGGCAACACTCACAGAGTGAGTGCTCTGTGTCGGTACACAGGTACTATAGGCGCCGAGCGCGTCACCGTCGTTTGGAACCATCTGTCCGTCTCGAACAGGGTCTTTCGAGGGTCTCGTACCAATTTATTTTGAAAGTGCATACCATTTAAATGTGTTGTCTATACGGTGGTCCTATCATAAACGCACAATAATAATATTCTAGTTTTCACGTGTTGCCCCGTTTTGACAGGCGAGCGTTGCGATCAACGTGGAGCATTTCCGCTCTGCCATGACGGCGTGCAATGACACGCTAGCAGCTTTCTGGGTCGACCGCCGGGCCTGCCTTCTCTCAGGGAAGCCGGCAACGAATGCATCGACGTACTGCGCCGAGCCTGCGTGCGTTCGCCAGCTCACGTCGCTCCAGGTCGCGCTACAAAACCAGTGCAGCGGCGTCGCTGACGCAGACATCCCCAAGGTACCGTCCGCTAGCGCTGGAAGCTCTCTTAGGACTACGCTAGGTGCTCGGCGCCCGCCTGACGCCGTCGTTTTGCCTGCTTGCGTGCGTCAATGTCTTTGAGACGCTCCAGCAGTCCCAGGCCGCTTGCACACGAAGCGGCGCCAAGACTGTCGCGCAGTGCAGTGCGTGCACCTCGTACAAGCTCACAGTACCCAAGCTCGTGCAGGGCTGTCAATTTAACGCATCGTCGGCGAGCTTGCTGGCCACGATCGCTGGGGACAGCAGCGAGTGCGAAACCAGTGTCGCCAACGCGTCCTTTGACAGTACATAGCGTCGTGTCAGTCTTGCGGCTCTCACGTTTTGTGCGCAGGCACGGACGCAAACTCTGCGATTTACTGGGTCCTCGGCGCACTCGTCACGTGCATCGTCGTTGGTCTCGGTGTCTATCGTCACCTGAAGCGCAAGAACGTCGTCAAGAAGGACCTCAACTACTATCGCAAGCAAGGGTATTTCGAACCTCGTGGTGCCACGTCATGACGCGATCGGTAGGTCCCAGCCAAAGAAGAAGGTGCCATCGAACCTCCGAAATCTCTTTCTCGACAATGACGTGCGGCTCGACCCGAGCATGGTCGACTACATCTTTGAACAAGACCAACTCTCGCAGATCACTCTCAAGTCCAAAGGTGCGGCGCCGATTCTTGCATCCGTAATGTCATCATGGAATGTAGGCGGCTTTGGTCTCGTGTTTAGCGCGTACTTGCAGACGTCCAATGGGCCCATCCGCGTCGCCCTCAAGCAGCTTTTGCCCGAGAAGACGACAGACATCGACCAACTCGAGTGCTTTATGAGCGAAATCCGACTCGCAGCGCGCCTAGACCACGTCAACATTGTGCGCTTCGTCGGCATTGCGTGGTCATCGCTCCAGGTATTACCTGCATACGAACGCGACGACGCGCAAGCTTGGTTAGGACCTCTCGATGATGACCGAGTTCATGGCGCGCGGCGACTTGCATCGCTTCCTTCGACACGAGCTCAAGCAACCCGCCGGCATGCGAACGCTGCATTGGACCTCGGAGAATCGCTGCAACAAGCTAAGCATTGCCGCCAACGTCATTGACGCACTCGTGTACCTGCACTCGCTCTCGATCATCCATCGAGATCTCAAGGCCAAGAACGTCTTGCTCACCGAGGACTTTTCAGCCCAAGTCACCGACTTCGGCGTTTCGCGAGAAAGCGACGAGGACGGCGACGCGATCATGACAGCGCGCGTCGGCACGTCGGCATGGATCGCGCCCGAGATTCTCCGCGGCGAGCTCTACACGGTGCAGGCCGACCTCTACTCGTTCGGCGTCCTCCTCGCTGAGCTCGACACGTTGCAAACGCCCTACAGCAATCCAGACCTGCAGCCTGAAGTCGAGGGCCTCTCGTCGTCGCAGCTCGCGAGCAAAGTCGCCCAAGGCAAGATCCAACCGGCCTTTACGAGTGACGTGCCCCATGCGCTACACCAAATCGCCCAGCGATGTCTCCAATACAAGTACACGAAGCGCCCGACAGCGTCACAGATCTCGATGGAGATCCACGCGCTGCTGCTCAAAGACAATGCGCGTCTCTCGGGTCGGTGTCCAGTGTAAAGTTTTAACTTACGATCGCGTACCTTGTTGTCAAGTTTGTCGTTTCCAGTCTGACGGCGTACCCTGCAAGACAAGGCAACCGTAGCATGTCGGTTCGCGGAAAACAAGTCGTCAAAGCTCTCAAGGCTGGTCCAGAACGCAGACCTCATCACACGGGTCGACCATTTGACTGCGCTATTGACAAGAGATGGCCGTTCGCGTTCGGACAGCACTTCACCTCGGGTGACAAGAACACGCGCGCAGTATTGACGCCGCAGGCACCCGTACATCGCCGTTAAGAAGGTCGTGATCAGCTCCACGGCGTAGAGCTGTTGGTCCCAGAACCTCCCACCGGTGGTCTGCCATTTTCGATGCCGTGGATCGTGTGTCACCGGAGCGCTACAGTTCGTAAAAAGATACCGTTTATGCGGAGCAACATGGATTGCATTGCGTCAGGCATGACGCTTTCACTCGGCTGGTACACAAGCTGCGGCCCATGAGCGGTGGCAAAGGCTTACCGAGGCGGTCCCCGCTGCTACGCGCTGGGCGGAATCGAAGGCTTCGTTCCGCGGCTAAATGCGATAACGACCGCAGCCTTAAAATTTCCTTCCTCCTACAATGTAGTGCCACGCGCCCGGTCGCTACGGCCGGGGCAATGCCGACGACAAGAAGTTGCGAACGTACATGCTCAAGTGGCGGTGGCACAGTGAGCTGTGCCACTCGTACGTGCACAAGGGACGGCTGGTCCCTGCAGCGAATCCTTGCGCCACGTTGGTACGCACCTAGAATAGGGAGAGTGCCAAACTTCGAATGCTCGATTGGATGAACAATGTTGCGTCAGGTTGTGGCACAGTGACTGAGCTTCTATCACAGCACCGAGTTCCATGCGGACTACCCACCGGCCCTTGGTCAACACATCGTGTACGACGACGTTGGACGTTGCTACCAACGATTTATAACTTAATTGGAGTGTCTTCAACACTAAAATGTACGCGTTGTCTATCTCGACAGCCGCATCGAGTCGGTCATCGTGTTGATCGTCGATCGCAGCCGGTACGAGAGCTCGATGGCCGTCGGGCGGTCGTTCGGGTGGAAGGAGAGGCACTGCTGCGCGAGCTCGAGCAGGGCCTCCGGAATGTGGCTGGTGAACGACGGCGTCAGCTTGCCTTCGCCGACGAGCATCGCAATGAAGGCGTTGCTGAGCACCTTGGCTTTGGCTTTGACACGTGGGTGGTGTAGATGGTTCTCAAGCTCCTGGTGGTTGGATTGGATCTACACAAACCGATCGTCAATGTCCCGATGCAAACATGGTGAAGTGCGTACGTAGTCGCGCGTATGTTCAATGTACGGCACTTCGAGCGTGTCCAGCTCGGACATGAGCACGCCAAAGCTGTAGATGTCGGCTTGCTCCGTGTACCTGCCGCCCGTGAGGATTTCGGGCGCGATCCACGCGATCGTGCCGACGTTCATCGTCATGAGCTCGTCCTGGCTGGTCACACGACTGTAGCCAAAGTCGTTGAGCTGTGCGTTCCACGTCGCACTAAGAAGCACGTTCTTGGACTTGAGGTCGCGGTGAATGATCGTCGGCTGGAATGAGTGCAAGTACGAGAGCGCATCGGCGACGTCGGCGGCCAGCGTCGTCTTGGACGTTCCCAGGCCTGTCATTTCGTGTTTGATGCGCTGTCGCTTGTGCTTGGGCGCCTTAAAGCTGCCATGGGCATTCGTGGCCATCTGGCCATTGGTCGTCTGTGACGACATTCGCTCGAGAGACTTTTGGTGCGATAGCAACGGATTCTACCAATTGATGTGACCCAGGACAACGATATGATGGAATCTTACGTGCGCTTCCCACGAGGCGAGCAGCCGGCGGTCGGCAATCGGGGTTCGGCGCTCAAACGCGAGGAACGTCGCAAGGTCGCCATGGGGCATGAACTCAGTAAGGAGCGAGAGGTCGCTGAGGCTCGGACCTTCCGTCCATGCGAGGCCGATGAAGCGCACAATGTTGGGGTGCTCAAGCGTTGACGAGAGCCGAATCTCGCGCATGAAGTCGGTGACTGTCAAAAGAGAGCTGCACTGCGACGGCAGTAGTTGCTTGACTGCGATCTCCATCATGTTGAAGACAGCGCGAAACACGACCGTTCCAGGACCCTTGGCACCTATACGAGCGATGTCAAGCAATTACTCGACTTCTGCAGAAAGGACGGACGAGGCGAAGGTTGAAAAGCTCGTGATGGGGAATACGCGTGTGGGCGAAAGTCGGGTCAAAGCGCACGTCGTTGGCGAGTTGTACGTGGGGCTCAACATCCGACTGCAACTCGTACTGCATCATCGCACGCGTCTCCTGTATGCGCTGGGCTTCGCGCCGGAGCAGTCTGTCCCGGCGCTTGGCCTTAGCCTGCAGATGGCACACGATGCTGACGAGGAGCACGAAGATGACGACGCCACCGCCGATGAGCAGTCCCATCGTCGTCGTTGAGAGACCCGCAGTTGGCGCCGCTGCCGTCGTAAGCGCCTGGAGCGAGCGTCGCCGGGACATGGCACGTCGCGCAATTGGCCACATTGCACACACAATCGCGATCCGCGTCATTTAATCCCATCTTCCACCTGTATTTTATAGCTTCGTGTTTGTATGTAGAGGATGGTGGTACAAAAAAAGACACAGCCTGGTGGGTTTTAAATTGGCGCCGTTTGTTGAAGCTCGAAGATGAAAGCGAACTTCGAAGATAAGTAATGCCTATCTTCGGTTTTGCAGGAACTATATTTATTGCGATTTTCCAATCCGCATACAAGCATCTCATACGCAATGATTTAAATTGCAACGATCCCGATCAGCCAGCGACGAATCGACTACGAGCAACTAACCGAAACATTTTGACACGGTTAGGCGCCTGTGCCGACGATTCTTGGAGGGAACGCGAGGGCGGCGCGCGAAAGAGTACGATGGGCAAGGTTCGATACTCGTGTACATGCGCATGCTCTGACCAAGGTGTGTTCTGTATAGAATCGAGTGGCGTCTCTGCTTCGGCCGCGTGGCGGAAGGGACGTTTTATGGCGGTTAGACGGGCCACTGGAGCTGCCACGATGAGCCAATCACTGGGCGGTGCAACGACTGGCTCTGGCCTTCAGCTGGCTGCACCGACCTAATGAGTGGCAGTTTGGATTTGGAAGAGTAGCGAGTAATTGCGCGGTAGTGTAGCAGACAGCGTAGCAGATTGTCTGCAGTAGAATTCGAATATCCATGCGTTCCACGCCATACCACGATGATTCACAAATGATATAATGAGCCTGAATCTCTTATGTAGACAAACTCTAGCTGAGTGGTATCTGTCTTCTGGAAACGCAGTAGGATGCTGTATTGTGAACGTAAGATTAAATGATGAACTTCAAAACCTCCTGATTGCGTTGTTTGCGCTCTTTTCGGATACCTCGCTGCCGGACCACAACGTTGCCCCAAGCGAGACACCCTTCACAACGCCAATGGACAACTCGTAGAGTCCAGCACAGGCGCTGCGGCGCCGGAAGAGGTGCCGCCGGTGCTCGCAAAGCCGTGTCATTAGAAAGACACTAGCCTTCGACGATATCTTTCCAGGAGCTGTGGGGCGTCGGATTGCTCTCCGAGTACATCACAGCGCACAGTCTGAGCATGTGTAGGACGTCGCGCTGCCGCATCGCAAGTGCTCCGATCACTTAAGTGCAAACAAAGGTAGATTCATGGTCGAGTTTATGCATCGTCTTCGTTCTCGTGGTTGTCGGCGAGGGAAATTTGACCGCTCTCGAGGCCTTCCATGAGCGCCTTCAACTGCTCTTCCGTCGCATGCTCTTCCGATGGAATGCCCGAGCTCTCAGCGCCGCGGTTCACGTAAAAATCACGGAGTTCTTCGTTGTCTTCATCCAAGGCTGCATCGAGTGGCTACATCGCAACAACGAGCGTGAGCCGAGTTCATGAGAGCGGAAGAGGAGTTCTGTACCGTGCGGCCATCGGAGTTCTTGGCGTTCAGGTCGGCGCCAGCATCGAGAAGGAGCTCGGCAACCTCGACGCTCTCGCAAAAGTGCAGCGGCGTCTCGTCATCGTTGTCACCGAGGGAGACCTTGGCGCCTTGCGCCAGGAGGTACGAGACGAGCTCGGCCTGGTTGTAGCTCACGGCAGCTTGCCTACGAGCGACTGTTACCGAATGCGGCAGCAAAGCCACGAGCGTACAGAGGCGTGTAGCCATTCTCGTCCTGCGCGTCGACGGAGACACCGGCAGCGAGGTACGCCTTGACAGCGTCCATGTCGCCATCGCTCGCGGAGACCCAAATGTTCTTCTCGGCCATGCTTCTTGTGCTCTGCGACGATGTGACGATGGCAAGTTTGATGGCTGGATTGGCATAGAGCCTGTCCATAAGCCGTTCCCCATATACAATTGCCTTTTTCAAAGCTAAAAACACATTTATATATTTTATATTTGTATGCTTCATAGGAACTTCTGAAGATTGTATAATTTATCATAATATATTTGTGTTTTTCTAGCGAATACCAGCCTCAAGCCGTATATTGCCGCGTCCTGTACACTCGTTGCACAGACGCTATTTAAATATGGATTACCATGAGTATTGGTTTAGGGGATTGGGCTAGATGCGAAGTACACATCCATATAGAATTAGAATATGGACACGAGTGTGGAGTGTGGCGCCAAATGGCAGTGCTGACGCGATGCGGTCGTCCGTCCATTTGCCGCGTCCGAAGAAGAGTCCGCCGCGTTCATGCCACAACATGTACTAATTAATACAAGCTCGACAGCAGAAAGCTTCGGCGTGAAATAAAGTATTTGCTGCTCGAAGGTATTTCCCGCGTGTGAATGCGTTGGTCCACTACTGTGTAGTGCCTCGCAAGCCTGCGTCACCAGTTTTTCACACCTCCGTCCAAAAACTATTATATAGTCAAGCCGTTGATCGTCTTCCAGAAGCACTGTGCGATCAGCTTCTGCGCTCGACATCGAAACTACCGAGGCCAACGCACTGGCAGAGTCTGATGCAAAGCTCAATAAAGTGATTTCAGCTCCAAACGCGATGACGCGGGGTGTACTTCTCGCTGGAAGACGATGCTATGAAACCTCACTGTGTACACCACACACAGGAGGCATCTCTTGGACGTCACGGCGTAATCACCTCGTTCAAGCCAATGCGTAGGAACTCGACGCGGGCGGTTGGGCTCTATCATTCACGATCGAAGCCCAAAATATGGTCTACCGCATTTTGGTCGTCATGCTCGACTAAACGAGAGACCTGGTCTTGTTCCCATCCTTACGCAGCAAATGAAGCTTCCGCCCGAAGTGTAGAAGATACGGCAGCGATGTATTGACAAGCTTAAAGCCCCGGCGCTGGCTCCTACGAATGCTTGCAGCAGGTCACCGGCGCTTCTACAAGACCAAGACCCCACCGTGACAAATGTTGAGGAAGCAAGGAAAGAGGACACATACAACACATCGACCGTATGGACCCCTTATGAGGCGGATGCATTGAGATCTATGGCTGTAACCCAACCTGTCCTAACGTTAGCATCCAAACAGACTCTGTAGCCGTGTACTTCTGGAAATCTACCCATATTACGGTGCAAACAAGGCAAGCGTTAATAATCCAGGTTGGACCCAAGAGGGTAACGAGTCCGTCCTAGTTCTGGCGACGGGCCGTGTCTTGTCGGTATGGTATTGAGATCACGCACTTCAACAGCGTGTGTGATCGACATTCTCATCCGTCGCGCCCTGACACTGACGAACCATTTTTTTCAAAACCGCCTTGTGACCAGAACAGTCACATGACCAGTTCACTATGATGGTCATCACTGGTGTCGAGAGCCTGAGCGTTCAATGACGGAGCATAGAGGGCTTGGACCACGTCGTATCGGGCTTCTGGGAAACCCTGCCAACACACTGGTAGAATGCAGTCTGAACGAGGTTCAGACCTCCTCGTATTGATTTTTTGCTACGCTGTGGCTAATTCCTCCATGCGACTTGATTCAACACAGAGCTACTGGACGTGAATACCGGGGCGGAAAACGCCCATAATGCAAACCACTTCGGCATGCCCTTGCACTTGAGCGCGCAAATCCAAGCGCGTGACGACGTGTGACAAGCGTTTCGTGGGTGGCTCCTTCACCGGCGTGGAAAATCCACGGCACACAACTTACAATATGGAGATATTCTCGCCTCGTGAGCTCTATCACATAGATGCAATATCCGGTCTGGGGCTCCTACCCAGTCGAACTCACTACTACAGAAATGTGAATCACGTGGACGCATTTTCTGTCGGCGCCCCCCGCACGTGACCTTTTGCGCCGTCTTGACAGAACCAAACCTCGCGACGGTACCGAGTTGTCCTTCGAAAGATACGCTGCGTCTTGATTGGTGCATGCTACGAGGAAGGAACCAATCAGCAACGGATATGACTTTCGCAACAGGCGCGGCATCATTTTCGAATGGGCAGCCAAACGAGCACACCAGCGGGCGCGGCGCCAAGCCTCCGGCGCGCCGCGAGTCTGAAGAAGATGATCATGTTCATGAAGGACCCTCGCACGGCGATGATGGACTGCCGCGACCACTACGGCGACGTCTTCCTCATGGAGAGCAGCTTAGTCAACGAGAAGATCATGGGCTTCTGCGGTCCCGAAGCGCTGCTCGCCTATGACACACAAGTCCAAGCGGGCAAAATCGTCCGCGCTGGCGCCTTCCCAACTGGTGTTCTCGAACTCCTCGGTTCCGTTATACCGACGCTAGACGGTGACGCCCATGCCAAGCGGAAAGCCGCCCTTCACGTCGCTTTTACACCCGAAACGCTGGACACGTACAAGGTCAAGATCCGAGAGATCATCCAGCACGAGCATGCAGCGTGGGCTGCCCGCGGCGGATCCCTCTCGCTCGCCCTCAGCTGCAAGAAGTTGGTGTTTCACGTCTTCTCGGCAACTCTTCTTGGCCTCGAAAATGTCGATGACGAGTACCGTGAGCTCATCGAGACCTTTGTCTCGTCCATTCGCAAGTCAGCGCGAAAGCCAGATGCCACCGGCATGGACGCGCGCACCCAAGTCGTAGAAGAGCTCATCCGACCAGCCATTCGCGAAGCCAAGGCCCGCGTCGCCGCGGAGAAGCCACTGCCGACCGTTGTCGACGTCCTCGTCGCCGACGGCCGCTTATCGGATGAGGAGCTCGGCCTCGAGCTCTTCCACGCACTCTTTGCCGGCCTTGGTGGCGTGACATGCCTGGCTATCAACTCAATCACGGTCTGCATTGAGCTACCAGCGATCCGAGAGAAGGTCAGCGCTGCCCGCGAAGCGTACTTGACCAAGTATCCGAACGAAGACGACCGGTGGCGCCATTTTGCAGACCTTGGGTACATGCAGCACTTCCTCCTCGAAGTAAAGCGGTTCTATGTGGCGGGTCCGACGCAACTCTATGGACGTGCGACTGACGACCTCGAGATTTCCACGGCCGATGGCTCGTTCAAGGTGCCAAAGGGCTGCTTGGCGACCGCAGGCCTCGAGGCCACGAGCAAGCACCCCGATGTATGGAGTGACCCACACACGTTCAACCCGGATCGATTTGCGCCGCAGGACGCCAGTGCCCAACCCAGCGGCTCGGTCGACCCCGATGAGCTCAAGGACGGCGCACGCGACGTGACGGCGCCGGGCTTGATGTACAAGTTTTGTCCGCACTCGATCGGCACTGCCCGCCGCTGTACGGGCGAAGGGCTCACGACGCTAGTTCTTCAGTGCTTTGTGGTATCGCTCTTCGACTTTATCTGGCAGATGGTGCCTGGCCAGAACTACCAACTCGAAGAGAAATCATCGACGCCCACCCCCGTCGGACAGCTCATGGCCGTTGGTTTCCACCGACGGGCGCTGGACCGTGTGGTAACCTTTGGTACGGCGGGCTCGGACGAAGACTGGCATTTTCTGAGCCTTCCGCAAGCGAGGGAGCTCGTTGGATGCGGCGCCGCCGACCTCTATGACGATGCGCGTATGGATCTGTGGACGCGCCTCATGATCAAGCTGATTGGGAAGAAGCAGGCGGCGTGGGACCGACCATTCGTCGACAGCTGCCTCAAGATTCCCAAGCACCAAAAAGTGTTGCCCAAGCTCACGCTGATTCAAACGAGCATCGAGATCCCCACGGAAGACGAAGACTGGCCCAAGCAGCCGTGGATCGAGATCAAGCAGTCCAACTTTCTGCGCGACCACGCCCCGTTCATCGATGACTTTACGCACACGTGGCTACCCGGCGAGGACATGGAACGCTACGTCATGAGCAAGCTCGGGCACATGTGGCCCCGCGTCAACGTCCACTGGAACGACCGGTACTCGGACCGCGCGCTTGAGCTCTTGGCTTTCAACGGCTTTGGCCAGCATCTCCTCATGAAGCTTCCGGAAGCTCATGACGACGGCTCGTACTACGGCATTTGTCTCGACTTTATGAGCGTACTCGAGGTCCGTCCTGGGTACGCCAAGTACGGGGCAGACGCGTACTTCAACGCCAAGGGCAAGGCCACAAAGATCGTCCGCGGCGGCGTTACGAGTCGTCCCGGGGAAGACGGGTGGGAGTACGCCAAGCTCTGCTTCCGCGGCAGTCTCCAGACCAAGGTCACGGCGGTCGACCATCTTCTTGGTATCCACGCAACGGTCGCCAACTACATGGTCACTTCTATCCGCGAGCAATTGCCACCGGCGCACCCGGTTCGCCGCCTCCTCAAGCCGTTCACATTCCGCTCCGTGGCCATCAACTTTGGCGCTGGCCGATCACTCTTCTGGCCCAAGGGCATGCTCCAGCGTGCGTACGCGCTCACGGACAAGGGCATGAAACAAACGTGGGAGTATGGTCTTGCCAACTTCAAGTACGAAACGTTTCCGGAGCGCAAGGCGCGTCAGAACATCGACACGCTGACGTTGCCGTTCCACGAGGACGGTATCGAGTACTGGCAGATCTGTCGCACCTTTGCCAACGACTATATCAACCTCTACTACAAGAGCGAGGACGCCATCTCGGCGGACGCCGACCTCAAGCGCTTCTGGACCTTTCTTGACGAGAAGCTACCGTTCGCGATGCGCCCTCTCAACCTCGAAAACCTCAAGGACTTCCTTGCCCATGGTATTTTCCTTGTCTCGTCGATGCACAACCACCTCGGCACGATTGCCGAGTACGTCTCGGACCCGGCCTTTTGTCCCTCGGCGTGGGTCGAAGGCGAGCTCGCGGGTCGACCCGGCACGGGTGTCCGTCTCGCGCTCATCATGACAGCGACTGGATTCACTCAACCCGCAATCACGGAAGACTTTTCGCACATCATGCTCGACGACGATGCCGAGGCCGTCTGCCAAGCGTTTACGGCCGCTGTCACCGCGCAGATCGCAGTGGTCGACGCTCGCAATGCCACGCGCGTCCAGCCGTTCCAGTCGTTCAACCCCAAGACAATGGAGATGGCCGTGAGCATTTAGCTGTGCCATCTCATCGTGATGCGTGTTCACTACAAGGAAATTCATGTACTCCATCCACTGTTAGCGCACAAGCAGCACCGGAGCTTGGTCGTCGAAGCCACACTGCCGGCAGAGGGTCCACTTCTCGTCGCATTAAAATCGTTGGCCACGAGGCCCTTGCCCCGAAGAGAAGCGTGCTGATAGCTTCAGGCCCTCTGACGAGGTGGACGGTGTTCGATATTTCACACATCCATGATTACAAGCCAATCAGACGGCGGTAATTTATTCGGACCTATCACAATGCGTCTGGGCGGCTGATCTTCGATCTTTGCGATCACAGGCGTCACGCCACGTCACAGACTGATGGGACGCACGCCACCGCCTTCCGACGCGGAACACAAGAAGTCCTTGGCGACCGTGTGTGGTTCTAGCAGCCTTTGTCTATGGTCCGTAGCTCGTGATAGAGCTGCTAGCTTACGCAATGCACATGGCATTCCTCCTCGTTTGCAGCCATTGTCTCCAGCTTAGCCTTGCAGGCAACGACAATTGATGCGCACAGATTTGCTAAATAGCTACTGCCGCTTCGAAATATACCAAGTTCAACTTGGATCTGTACGGACTGTGCGGCCAGCACTCGTAGGAGCTCAGATCTCAGGAGCGACGGCTACAAGCACGCCTCGAACCTTCTCCTCGCATCGCAGGACAACCCACCGACCCCAGCGCACCGAGCAGCCTTGTCGCTGACCAATGTGTCATCTCCGCCTGTCGGTGGCGCCATTCCCAGTCGCAGCTGATAGCGTACGGTACATCCACGCGATCTTTTCCAGACACGGAACACGTCTCGTGTCATTTTCTGATTGCCGGCCTCAGCAGCATGGGCAACCTCAGCAGCACTGGTGCGATGCACGGCGACGTGCACATGGACAAGATGGTCATGTACCTCGACAGCGACCGGTCGGCCATGATGGACGGTGATCTCTTCGTGCTCGAGAAAGCGCTCGCCACCGAGAAGGTCGTCGGCTTCTGCGGCCCCGAAGCACTCAAAGTCTTTGACGCCAACTTGCGCAACGGGACGTTTGTGCGCCACGGCGCCCTGCCAAGCGGTCTCAACGAGCTCCTCGGGCCCGTGCTTCCGACGACCGACGGCGACGCCCACGCCCGCAAGAAGAAATTGGTGCTCGCGGCGTTCAGCGGTGCGCAACTCGCGGCTTACAGCCCGCTCATTCGGACGACGATCCAAAAGGAACACGCCAAGTGGGCTGCCCATGGCGCGTCCATGTCCCTCGTCGCCAACGCCAAGGTCCTCACGTACAAGCTGTCCCTGCTTTTGATCCTCGGACTCGAAGACAACTACGACAACTCTCGTGAGCTCCTCGACACGTACATGCTCGCGCTGCGCAACTCGGTGCGCCGCGCCGATCCTACGGGCGTTCGTAGCCGCGACGAACTCATCCGCACGATGATCAACCCGGCGCTCGCGACGAGTCATGACCGTGTGCACGCGGGCACGCCCAAGCCTTGCGCGCTCGACTATCTCGTTGCTGCTGGCTGCCTCAGCGACGATGACCTCCGCACGGAGCTCTTCCACCTGCTCTGCATGAGCCTCGGCGGGCTCGAGTGCTGGGTCGCCAACTGCATCACCGCGGCGGCCAGCAGTGCGGACGTCCTCGCGCAGCTCACGGCTGGTCGAGACGCGTTCATGACCAAGTACCCCGCCGAAGCTGATCGTTGGAGCCACTTGAGCGACCTCGGCTATGTCAACAGCTACATCCAGGAGGTCAAGCGCACATATGTAGCGGGCCCGAGCCACATGTACGCGCGCGCGACGAAGGAAACGGACGTACACACGTCGGAGGGGACCTTTCGCGTGCCCAAGGGCTGCCTCGTGGCGGCCGCACTCGACGGCACCAACAAGCATCCGTCCGTGTGGGCTAACCCGACCAAGTTTGACCCGTCGCGCTTCAGCTCCACCAAGGTCGACATGGCGTTCGGTTTTTGCCCGCACGCGATCGGCGCGGTGGCGGACCGTCGGTGCGCGGGGGAAGAGCTCTCAACGCTGATTCTGCAGAGCTTCATGGTGTCGCTCTTCGACTTTATGTGGAAGATGCTGCCGCACCAAGACTATACCCTCGACACGACGCTCGTCAACCCGATGCCCAAGGGCGGGCTCATGGTCGTCGGCTTCCACCGGCGCACGGACCTCTCGGCGAGCATGGTCGAGGTCGCCGGCAGCGAAGAAGACTGGAAGTTCCTCTCGCTGCCCGACGCCAAGGTCTACCGCGACGACAAGGAGACGCTCCACGACATGTTTGCGGACGAGCGCCTCGACCTCTGGACGCACCTCATGCTCAAGCTCCTCGGGAAGAAGCAGTCCATGTGGAACCGGCCGTTCGCTAACCAGGCCATCACCGTGCCCAAGTACCAAAAGACGTTGCCCAAGATTACACTCTACGGGCTCAAAATCCAGATCCCGACTGAGGACGAGGACTGGCCGGCCGACCCATGGAATGAGGTCGCCATGGTCAAGTTCCTCCGCGACTCGTGTCCGCTCGGCGACGACTTTGAGCACACGTGGCTGCCTGGCGAGGACATGGAGCGCTACGTCATGAGCAAGGTCGGTAGCATGTGGCCCCGGGTCAACGTCCACTGGAACGACCGGTACTCGGACCGCGCACTCGAGCTCCTCGTGTTCAACGGCCTCGGGCAGCACCTCGTTACGAAGCTACCTACCGCGCACGACGACGGCTCGTACTACGGCATTTGCCTCGATTTCATGCAGGCGCTGGACGTGCGTCCAGGCTATGCCAAGTACGGCGCGGACGCATACTTCAACGCCAAGGGCAAGGTCACCAAGATCATCCGTCTCGGCAAGACGGTGCACCCGGGTGACGATGACTGGGAGTACGCCAAGCTCTGCTTCCGCGGCAGTCTCCAGACCAAGGTCACGGCGCTTGACCATCTCTTGGGCATCCACATCACGGTCGCCAACGGCCTCGTGACGTCCACGCGCGAGCAGTTGCCGCCAACGCACCCGCTGCGCCGCCTTCTCAAGCCGTTCACGTTCCGCTCGGTCATCATCAACTACAACGCATCGTACGCTCTCTTCTGGCCCAAGGGCATGCTGCACCGCGCATTCTCGCTGAGCGTCGAAGGCATGCAGCAGACGTGGGAACTCGGCTTGGCCAACTTCAAGTACGAGACGTTCCCAGAGCACAAGGCGCGTCAGAACATCGACACGACAACGCTGCCGTACCACGAAGACGGCATGGACTTTTGGCTCATCGTGCGCGGCTTTGTGGGCAGCTACATCGACCTCTACTACCCGTGCGACGAGAGCTTGACGCAGGACACGGCTGTCCAGGCCTTCTGGAGCTACCTCAAGGCAACGCTGCCGCCCAACTCGATCCGTCCGCTCAGCAAGGACAACATCAAGGACTTTGTTGCGCACGCCATCTTCCTCGTCTCGTCGATGCACAACCATCTCGGCACGATCGCCGAGTACGTCTCGGACCCGGCTTTCTGCCCCTCGGCGTGGGTTGAAGGCGAGCTCGCGGGCCGTCCTGGTCCGTGCGTCCGTGGCGCTCTCATCATGGCGGCCACCGGCTTCACGCAGCCATCGATCAAGGAGGACTTTTCGCACATCATGCTCGATGAGAATGCCAAGGCCGTGTGCCGCAAGTTTACGGCTGACGTCTGCGCGTACGCGGCGGTGGTCGAGGCCCGCAACTCGAAGCGCCAGCACCCGTACCAGGCATTCAACCCCAACACGATGGAGATGGCCGTGAGCATCTAAGCAAATGTAATGACAGTCTTTTGAAATTTCCATCTCGTTGATCAAATTGTATTATCGAGTGCAGGAATCGAGAAGAGTACAAGTTGGCGCTCATACTCGGATGCGTTCCAGTGACTTTTGCTGCACTTGACATTCGACACAGACGCCGATTGTAGCACGCACACTTCGCCTTGTACTACACGAGTGACGAGGACGTGAGTCGTGACTCGTCGATCCAGGCGTTCTGGACGTTCTTGCGCAAGCAGCTACCGACGCCACTTGGTGTGTTGAGCTTAGAAAGCCTCGAGGAGTAGTTGCACACGGCATCTTCTTGGTGACGGCCATGCACAACCACCTCGGCGGCATCGCCGAGTACGTCTCGGATCCGGCTTTCTGCCCGGTATCGTGGGTCGAGGGTGAGCTCGCAGGACGACCTGGTACTGCTGTGCGAACGGCCCTCATCATGTCGGGCACGGGGTGCCCGCAGCCCAGCCTTTTGGGAGACTTTCCCACGTGCTTTTGGATGACGCTGCCAAGGCCGTCGCCCACCGTTTCACAGCGTCGCTACAGTCGTTTGTGAAGGTTGTTGACATGCGCAATGCCCAGCGTATGCTTCCGTACCAAGGTTTCAACCCCGCAGTCATGGACATGGCCATCGACTTTTAGTTATTCTTCAATACTCGTATTCCAACAGGGTCCGGTCTAAAACATACATACTACGTGTACTATATTGGCCTTTTTAGATGCCGACAGCCATCTCCATTGATTGAACGACTGGAACGACTGGACACGGGTGGCATTTCGCCGGTTGACGACGGGAATCTGCGCCTTAACATCGGCCGTGAATGCCCGAGCGACACACTTGGCGGCGTCGTCCAACATCACGTGTGAAAAATCTTCCGTGATCTGCGGCTGGTCAAACCCGGTGATGATCATGATGAGCGCAAGACGAACAGACGTTCCGGGGCGCCCCGCGAGCTCGCCTTCGACCCACGCAGACGGGCAGAACGCCGGATCCGAGACGTACTCCGCGATGGCGCCAACATGGTTGTGCATCGACGAGACCATGAAGATAAAGTACGTCACAAACTCATGCAAACTCTTGAGC